GGCATTCTCGTTCTCTATAACGCGGTGGAGTCGTCAGAAATTTAGCTCGAAGCGAATGTCAAGCCTTGCCGTCGGCGGATGCTAGCGTCGGGCAATTCTCATTCCGTCAATGCTATTAGCTCGATACTGTTGAATACTACCCTGATGGGCCTGCGAGTCCTGGACTGGCTGGTTATGCACTCGTTCATCGTAAAAATAAGATAAAGCCATCAGTAAGAGCCGTGAATTGCGAGCAGTGAGTGGCAGTAGTAGCAGCAGCCACAGATGAGGACGGATAAGTGCTTTTAGTGGCGGCGGCAATGGGCGCTTGTATCCAGATCAACACAACAACGACGACGAAGAGGCCGCGAAGAAGAGGAAGGAGGAGGGTAAGAAGAAACGGGAAGATATCGAATCACTCAAATCATGGAGCAGATGAACGGATTCGTTCCCGTTAACTGGCATGAGCACGTTTGCAGGACCAACCCGCTGCCACGGCTTGGCACTCGACCCATCTTTGCGCCAGCCGTTTGCATGGTGGAAAGTAATAACGATGTAATAGAATAGAGGGGACATGCAAAAACGGTAGAGACTACGGTTTCGCAGAGAGCGAGTGTCATATCTGCGTTGTCGTGTTGCCAACAATAATAGGGGCGGTGGTAGAATCACAAATAGCAGTTGAGCATCTACGGAGAGCAGATGCACCCTGGAGACAGCAGAATCAGGTACTGCAATTGTGGAGGCAAAAGTTTGTTTCATTCGACCAAGCAGACCGCTGCGACGCTAGTATGATAGAAGCACTAATAAGAATATTGTTGTTGATTTTTTTTGCCGATCTCCAACTTACGTTTAGAATGCCGCCATCAGAGAATTAGATCCCTCAGGCTAATTAACAAATTACTCGGAATGAATATTTAGCTTCTAATAAATCTCTGGTTTTTAGTGAGATAATACCAGTATTATCTCTATTCTAGGGAAACTATTCGAAAGTATAGTAAAAAAAACGCAGATGGGAAGTGGGGATGCGCGTTTGTAAATGTCTTGTAGGAGATGACGCTGGTGATAAAATCAGTCTCTAAGATTTTCTTGACACTCGAAAACCGATTCTGGATTATTTCGGGTGCGGTTTAAGACTATGCATAAAAATCAAGCCATCCTGAGATAGCGTCTAAGTAGTGGTGCTCATAGCTTCTAATCAGGCTCGATCGAATCTGTAGCTTCATAGCCAATGGGCTTATGGACTATATAGAATCCTACCATTACTAGCTATTGCATATCAGTAACCTCTTAAGTCTATAATAGTCTGCAGAATGATGACAGCAATGAGATTGAGCGTATATTTGAAATTCGTTTCCCACGCACATAACCACCCGTTGCATCCAGAAAGCCAGAGATTTCCGCGGTCGCCGCCGCCGGCGCGGGCGCTGTCACTGTTACGCCACACGTCTAGCAGTCACCAGTGTGGCACCAGCACCCCGTTGCGGTTACGGGGCTCCCCCTGCGCGGAGCTACCGAACTGCCGAAGACAAAGTAAGACAAGCAGTTTATGTAGATCGTCAATACCAAACAACGTAACGGCCTCGTAATGAATTCAGTCGCCTGCTACCGGTCACGCTGCTGCACCTTGTGCTATTACTAGGACCGCCACTCGATATACTTTGCTGGCCCCTTTAGCTCTCGTTGTTCCGCTAGACTCGCTCATCGTTATGTAGATTAAGCGGTAATCAGAATAATAATACATGAACGAAACTCTGCTGCCGCAACGGCAACGTACAAGTAATAGATGAAAATAATGATGCCAACAGCACGGAAATTCAAATGTGACGTTTTGACTGCATTTACTTTCTATGACCGGGCCGGCTGCTGCTGCTATTGCGCTTCCTAAGTAAGAGATATCATCGTATCTAACAGCTAATTTTTCTTTTTGCTGGTTTACGTACGGTTGACGTCAGTAATGTAAATAACCTATGGCGAACAAGAGTTCAATATATAAGGAGAAAACAATACTTGTTTTGCAGTAAAATAATGCACATTGTTGAACTGCATTTGTGTGTAGCTTTGTTCTCTGTCAACTCTAAAATTATTTTTCAAAAAATTATCGTCTTCGAACTTATACGACTATTAACAGTGTTCGATTAATAATCAACGTCAATTACAATTTAACATGGCAAAGAGTTGCTGCAGTACGAATGTTTACATATGTCACATTAGTCTTTGGATAAAATTTTTCGATTTTCTGGTTATCGATAAGAAGTACAGATAAATCATGGACGTACGCATATCAACCTTCTCGAGAAGCCTATCGAGACAAGGATCGTCATGATCGCTGCTTCAAAGGTTTCTGATGTATATTGAAAACCTCGATCCGGTTAAAGGCGATTAACTTCAGATTCGACGTAACCCTTGAAAAAGAAGATATTCCCTGGCGTGTAGTTCCAGAACTATCGACGCCATAGGTACTTTGCTTTGATTACGAAAACAAGCATGCAATTCGCTTGATCCTTTTTCCAGCCGAAAGTATTTCGGTAGGAAACGTAATTGCCTTTCCACTAATGTACATCGTGTCCAATTAGCAAAGTTTAGGACAAAGTAATCTTCAAACTACGAATGGTACAGAGGACGAAGCCGGTACGTGTTCAATCAATGTGGTTCTAGCAATTGCGAACTGGTACTAAATAAGATATAGGTTTGACGGAAGGGCATGTTCCCGCTTCATCGTCTGCATCGAATGACTTTTTCAGCTCTTCAATAAAAGCAACGGCGCGTTCGTTCGCAAGCCGCTTCAGCAACTTACGGCTTCTCATTAGACGCGTCTGCTTAAGGCGGCCGCGACTCCATCGCTCGTTTCTCGCGTATGCTATCGGTGACCAACTACGGCGGAGCCAACGGCACAGCCATCAGCGGCAATCACCGATCGTCACGGATCATTTTCGTCGGGAGCACAACAACTGTTGCAGCTGCTATTATAACTGTTATTAAAATCAAACATTTTGCTCGATTTTTAGTTGACGCTCAATATTCACTCATACCTGTGGTGACATTCTGGTATAGTTCAATTGAGTTAAACCTCTGCGATGGCTGGAAGTACATGGTGTAGTGACGAACGAGTCTTATGGACCCGCCCGCATATTTTGGCCTGGAGAACTGTTGATGGACGACGGCGAAGCGTAGCTCGCAATAGAAATTTTCTTCAATTATATCCCGCCTTATAATCAGGCATAATTAGCTGACTTTCGGACGTTCTCAGATTTAACAGTTAACAGGATGGTATATTCATATTAAATAAGTGAGCAAATATACTCTAACGGCAGCTTTATCCAGTGCTATACATTAATGAATTTCTGATATAGACAATATCCTAACCGAACCCGAAGTACCTATCAACTGCGAATATAAGCAACGGTTCAACAAAACAATTTCATAGTTAGAAGTTCGTGAGAATTCAGGAACTTTTAGCCCACAGTATATAAGTGATTAGCATTAAGTTCGAAATGAAAGTGAAAAATTTCATACAATTTTTCTGTACGTGCAACCGAGCTGCATCCAAACAACAAAAAAAAAGTGTTTATCTGCGTTATTTAACACATTAACCATCGTCCAACAGTCGTTAACCTGTTAACCAGCAAGAATGGAAGAACGGCTTCTCAAATCAGATGTCATACGTCACCAAAGGGCCGATTTCTCGACCCGGATACACTGTTCAGTGTGAGGGAATAAGGGCGCTCTAGTGAGGCACCCTCTATTTGCCTTTTCTTCGCTAAACTCTTGCAACTCGTACTTCTGTTTCTATCCATTTTCTGCCAGATTTGTACATAGTTTTGTCGAGCGATTATTACACGATGTATCGCGCTAATTATTTGCTGGGTCTGTTTAGCAAACTCGGTACATCGTTAGCTCTGGAAATGCGCTAGGTTAAATCCTGTTCAGCCGCAGGCAGAGGCGGCGACTGCGGCAGCAGCAGGAGAACCAACGAGACGGAAGATCGACGAAGGAACACATGCCGCCAGCTCGTCACGACCCGCGTGAATCTGCCCACTGTCCAAAAGTGCCATTTGGAAGTGACCGAACGGAGCAAGGAAGAGATCGAAAGAGCGTTAACTGAAACACACTAAAGGCTCATAATCTTCGTTGGCAGAGCTGGGGCCGTGGCGCATCCGCATTAACGCACGTTCAAGCGCGATCTGCAAGTCACCCAAAACCTGTCTTTCTATGAAGAAGTTTTATGAAACTATCGTGTCGGTTAGATGTAATGTTTATGGTAAGCTGAGCATTCCTGTAGTCAACCTACACGCTGGAGCCTGCTACATGAACATAGATCCTTTGCCGTAAGTCCCAGGGACAAAAGGATATCGAAAGGGCTCAAAGCTCTTAGCACCCCTACTCTTAAACGAGATACTAATCACGATTCGCTATGGAAGTAAGTTATAATAAAAATGAAATTAGTATTGCAGCAGTAGTTTCTGTTTGTTCGAATAGAACCAATGATAATGTAGAAAGTATGTTTACCGCTACTCAGCCATTTTCATTTAGTTGTAACTTCGAGCCGTAGTATTAATTCAGCTTAATTAATTAATTGAGTAAAGTACTCAGCCGTCACCATAGGAAGCATTAATCACCTCAATATGATTAGGTGCTAGTGACTGAAAATAAGTCGGCACAGTAGCACTCGAAACGCAGGTCAGTTGATTCCAATAATAAAGAAGCTTTTTGAAGTCAAATACTTTGTGTAGAGGGCAATATTTTACAGTACTATACAACGAACGTTCATATTATCGCATTCTACACTTATGTGAGTATCATTTTGAGCTTGCAACTGCTTCAGCAAGAATCACTGATATCAGAGCAAGCAGTTATTATTCTGCCTCTTCAAACTGACATTTCCTTTGGATGGCCGAACATATTTTGGGTCGACTTGACTATTCGGAGTTAAACCCAATTCTTTTCTTGGCAATAAAGTCTACAAACTATCCATGAGCCATGAATTTACTCGATCATACTTTTTGAGCGTAAAAATTACTCACAGCACTGAAAAAATAGCTCCTAACGATTCAGGTCCGGCAGCGTCGGTAGGTCCTGGAGAAGGGCTGGGTGAGCCGCTAGCACCTTGTACAGCCTGTAGGGTTGCTTGGAGTACTTTGAGATCGACGTCGCTGCCGATCAGCTGCGATACAGTTGCCAGAGTTAGGTCATCTAAAACAAATCAAAAAAGACCCAAAAGTCTAAAATTTACCACTTGCTCCAAAAATATATAGATACCGATATGAAATATTAGTTATCTCGGAGTACTTTTTAGTAACGAACAACGTCATTATCTAATGGTACGGATCTTCCAGTATTCGGGTATATCAATATGATTCTAGCATTTTACACAGGTTCATAACTGAACGTCAGTGGAGGATACCATTCAACGAAATGACACGTTTCCTTATTAGTTTGTTCATTTTTTTAGGAACCACCGACACTCGTTGTGATATGAAAAGCTGCTGCCATGAAGAAAGCAAGCTCTACAATTCGGAGTGAATTGAAAGTTTACTTTGTCAACGTACAGCGTCCATGTTCACAATGGCTGATATGTTGTAGCTGGCAATAACTAGTTATCATGCAGGAACATCGAGAAGGTGATCCAAACAAAGTTGGGGTAATAAGGTTAGAAATTTTCTGATTATCGCCGAATAGTGGACTGCTTTCGAAAAACTTCCCAAGAAGAATACTCCCATTGTCTTATACCTCTCAAAGATTTACAGGCTGCTCTAATTAGCCAAACAGGCCGGGCCAAGGATTTCGTCAAGTAACGCATTTGCGAATTCGTGACCATTTTTTTTTGGTGGCGAATGCTTTTACGCAAAAGTACATTAGCTTGACCTGCGTCATTTAGGTATAGATTTTTAAATCTATCGACGATAAACTTACTTTTAATTGCAGAAAAAGAGGAAGTAGGAAGTAGATATTCTTGAGTATACGATAGTTTGTAGAGATGTCCTTGGCTCTTTCATAGACATGTCGAAGCTACTCGGAACATTTTCCTCAATAACACATGTATATGTAATTTATGATTATTGAGATTAGCGTATAGCAAGGCGCTTAGTCAATGCAAATATTTGCAAGTAAAGATGTACATAGTATAGGATATTGTACTGAGGTAGACGATGGCAGCTTCCGTCAGACAAAACACCAGCCCAGTCGTAAAGCCGACCGGACAGTTTCCTCTCCGAAAAAGCAACCCTCTCAATACGGATTTGGCAACATGGCTCAAGGAAGACATGTCTCCTAGATTTATATGTCTATGCACTTCCCTCAAACGAAGGAACTGACACTCATAATTTGTCTTTACTTGTGATCTCGTGCGTAATAGATATCAATTTTGACTTAATATGATGAGCAGTAGCCGACGACGGTGGGTGTCACGATAAGGGGATGAGAAGTGACTTAAGGATAGCTGACCTTTACTCTGTATTTCGTAAAAAATATTGTACCTAGATGTGTAAGAACAAGCTGCCTAACTTATTTTAGCATATGCTTTTAACCTTAGAATGCAATTTAGACAACATAAAGAAAGTTGCCCTTTGGATTTGCCGACGTCTTTGGGGTATATACTGTGAGTGCGAAATTCGAACGCGGTGGACCTATCGAATATTTTTTTCACGAGTGTACAATCATTTTTTTGGGCAGAATGCTTTACTTTTTTTCTTCCCTGCTACATTCACTCAACACCAGCTTGCGTACAGCGATTCTAGTATTTTCTGCAGTAGTGTAGTAATACCAGACTTGCCCATTGACAGGAAAGATACTGACATAATCTAGATCCGTACTTTGGCTTACACTCTATTTTTTTTTATTTTTTATCTTTCCGTGAAAATTGGATAAATTAAAAAAGCTTCGCTTGTTCGCTTAGATCGCTTGTTCTCAGGCCCCTGCCCCGAAAAGTCCTTGATTGTATCAACCCTGATCGCAAGTTCACCAACGCTTCTTCTGAAACTACAGCAAAAGCTTAACATAACTACATTTGTAGAGTCTTCATATATCTTCTAACAGCACATCCTAAACGGCGGGCAATTTTAATGAGCGACAACACGGCGCTTCTAATTCTAGGACTGAGCGACCCACCAGCCAGCCGCTGATGTACTAATCTTGTCTATTGTAGTTGTGGCAGTGGCTGTCTCGATAGTTATAAATAAATACCCATTTTGTTCTCTTCTCTTTTCCTCGGTGACTCCTTCTTCCAACCAAAACGTTTCCTTTACTTTCTAAAGAGTCTCACTGTCGCCAGCGGTCGTTGCGTCTCTATCGAACTGCGCATTCAGTCGTTCGTAGGTCATTTGGTTTGTATGTCCAGGTCTACAACTCCAGTCTACTGGTATGATGCGTTTGCTTTCCTCGCAACCGCAGCGACCTCGTCTTAGCACAACTCGAAGAGCGATGAAAACAACGGTGGAAGCAATCGGAGTTGGTATTGAGGGTAGCTGCTATGCGAGGGTAGTAGTAAGTTATGTAGGAATAGCAGCATGAGATTCTTCGGCTGTATGCAGCGGTGTTAGACACCTTTCGTGTACTGATCGTTTGACCGTTGTCGCTGGTTCCGTGTCCATGGCTTTTTCCCGCTCGCTGTGCTTCGCGTTTTGTTATGGTCCCTAGGTCTTTTTCGTTGTCGACGTGTGTTCGTTGACAGCTTTCCCTTTTGGCCACCCTCTATAATTACTCTCTTTACCTTTCACTGTCTCACTTCAATATTATATGGCAAAAAGCAGGAAATCGTCGTAATAGTAATACTAGTAGTACTACTAGCACCAGCCCAAGCGATGGCTGTGCTTGTGTTGTCGTTGTACGGTCTGTCATGTAAAATCAAGTCAGAAAAGTCAACTCGTTACTAGAAGGAGCATTCGAGCACTTCAGCAAAAGGGATGCGAACACAGAGCTGTCACTCAAAATTGAAGGCGGCAGCGACAACGAGCATTACTTCAGTTCTTCCGTCTCCGTCGTTTTTTCCGTCTCGAGCAACAGCGGCAGCAGCGGCATCAACAACAATATGGGCAGTTGTCCGTAAACTGATTGACTGTCTGACCGACGAAGGTTTTGAAGCATATATTCCAGCAGCATGAACAACAAGTGCAGCAACTTCCGCGGCACCGGCGACGATCAAATCATTTCTAAGCCTCTCTTCGATCCGCGTCTTGCAACAGTAACGGGCGCCAAGCAGACACTTCTTCCATCCCTATAATAGTAAACCCCTTCCCCCATCATTAATAGACCCCTAGAATCTCACAAGAGAAGCTAGCTAAAATCAGAGGATAAAGACAACGATGCTAAGCGCTACTCAAACGCTACTCGTCCCGGCTGTTGCTATACAGTAAAGCCAGTAGCAGTCGCTAGGTGAGTGAGCTGGTAAGATCGGAAATCGAGACCCTGTGTCCGTCAACAATAGAATGCGCGTGAGCACGACGTCCACGATGCGGTGACAGCGCCAGACGCATCCCCGGCCTGTTCAGCAGCGGAGAATCAACTATATCCTTTGTTGCTGTTGTTGTCGTTGCAACAGTGCGAATTCGCGAAGAGACACGCTTTGTATGCTGTCTTTTTTCTACTTCACTTAAGAGAAAAAAGCAAAGTTTTGCTGTTACTGTTGTTGGGTCCTGGGCAATACCAATATGGTATCAACAAATAACTAATGCACAATTGTTATTGTGGAGGTAAACATGCGCAAGAGAGAAGGTAAGGAACATAAGCTAGACAAATAAATTGACAAAGGGCTCAAGCGCGCAGATATGTTATTACAAAAAGAAACAGAGACGTGTTTTTACTTATTCGGCTGCGCACATGTGTTGATATAAATGAGTTTTTATACTTCGCCTCGTCTAGTATCACACATCACTTACATTGAAATGTATGTTTGTAATAATGAAAATAGCAGTGAAAAAATCTAGCACTGGCGAGTATGGAAGCTTTACGAAGCGTTGTCAAAAAACAACAAATAAGCTTCTAAGCATATCAAGTCTAGCTTACTCTTATTTGTCAACACACACTACGTAGAGATGAAAAACAAAGGATCAAGTATAAAACTTTAGATTAAATCTTAATGTCTTTTGTTCGATTTGTCAATTATATACCAAACATTTGGTTCAAACCGGTGTTTGATCGGATTACTGGTATGACGGACCGTTACATAACACGGCCTCGTATAAGGCAAACTTTCCTAATTTATTAATTGATAAATAAACCATCAAGCGGTCAATGTTCTCGTCTATAATATCCATTGCCGATCTGATGTCAAAAGCGTTACAAAGTGGTGCAATTATAGACCTGTAGCAAATGAATTTTCAACTAAATGCAGCCCTAAGTATCATGCTGTTAGCGAATGGCTGAGAGCTAGCGCCAATATCTAAATACTTGTTTTTTGCCGAGCAGGTGAAAACAATGCAGCTACAACTGTTGGGCAAAGGCGAAATAAGTGTCTATACCTATACATTGGTTTCACCATACGACAATGATCATCCACAGATAATACAGGCTAGTAAATCGTTGTAATTAACTAACTAACGCGGTCCGCACACATCATTGGATAGCTTGAGATCTCTTTCTGTGTGCATATTCTGCTAATACGAACATATCTACAAGTTAGGAGGTACGAAAAGGTCCTACATAGTAGCAAAACGCAGTTCACAAATGTGGCAAGGAAATATTCGTATGTGGGTGTCTGCAGGGCTCGCCTAGAATTTTTTGTCACGCAAAAATATCGCCATCATCAGCCGTACCGTTTATAGAGATCCGGTACGTCTCCGATGAACTAGTTGCAAGCTGTTATTTGTTGTAGCTTTCTGGTTCTGTTCACGAGTCTCCTTATTTTATTTTTTGCAACCAATTCATGTTTTACCCGAAATATCGGTACGTCGTCGCCCAGTCCGGACGTCATTTCATCCGATCGATACTTGACTAGACTCTGCGAGCTTCTCCGCAAGATCGACCACTAAAACACAAGACTAAAGCTATAAATGTTTGGGCTGATACTTGGTTTGCTTCGTTTGGAAAGAGTTGTATTACTACGATGCATGTCTCTACCTATTCACGTACACGTTTATGTATATAAAGGAAAGCCAGTGCAGTAACCAAACAAAAATAAAAGCAGGCGTCTTGTATAAACAGGCCGCACCAACGATTCTCCATTGTCGCTCATGTTTTTCTTCTCCTTCCCTATTCTCTGTTGCTTTTTCAATTCCTAGCCGAAATTTTGATAGTTCCACCCTTATATACCTGGCTTATTTCAGCATTCTTTTTCCCTGCTGTATTTTCCCTTCCTATCCATCGTCGTTGCTATATGGCTTCTATCTGTCTCTGAGTTTCTCATTCGTTCGTACCCCTTTTTTTTGATACACTACCACATCTATATATCTATTTATATATTATTATTATTCCTCGTCTTTGTCTTTTTCGTTATACTTCGTATACTTTTTGTTCACGTTTGCTTGTCCCCAGCAGAGCTCTCCGTTGTCGGAGAGGAGCGGCAGGATTGGCGGAGCTGCTTCGGTTCCCCAGCGCGGAAGGAAGGAAAGAGGGCCATGTCTCGTGAGGAACTTTGCATGCGCGTTCAGTTGATCCCCCATTGGTTCGTTATTTCTTCTTTCGTTACTTTCTACGTCTCACCAGTTAATAAGCGCGGTCGATATCGCTAGAACGGTGGTTCATTTCGTCGGCCTGGCCGGTGCCTTGTCTCGTGCCGCTGCTTTTGCACCAGTCGAACGAACGGGCGAATCACAGCGTCGAAGACGGCAACGTCAATGCCGTAGATTGCTGTATATTGCTGATATTGCTGATGCTTCTGCTGCTGCTGCTGCTGCTTTTGGCTTAATTCTTCTGGAAGCGCAGACGAAGAATTCGAAGACGAAAAAGTAAAGAACAAGCATCTTCAATTCGAGCCCCCTAGCGGCGCACGGCCGCCTGAACGAACGCAACGTCGAGTCAGGAGAGCAAATCCGAAATGTGAACGAACTGTACACTAACTGTAGGGCGGCAGCTAGCGGCAGCGGCGACTCTGGCGGTAGCAGCAGCAGTAACGAAAACGAAGAAAACGACAACAACGAGAAAAGTCCAAGCGGAGAGTCGACAGCTGAGCGGTTGAGCGCCGGCTCTTGGCGCTCGGTTCGACTCGACCTGACTCGGCGACCAGCACGCTTTTTCTGCTCACGACTAAGAGGACGCTTCTTCCATCAGCAACAGCGTCAACAGTAGAAACGACTTCCATAACAACAGCAGGCGATAGCAGCAGCAGTAACAGCGGCAACAGCAACATACTTTGCCGCCGGTTCTGCCTCGAGCATGGCTTTTGCTAGAGATATTGAAACTGTTGCTGTCGTCATCGTCGCGGTCGATTGATGTTGAAGTGAAGTAAAATCAGTCGCTGCTCCTGCTCCTGCTTCAACTAGCAGCTGCTGAAAGCTGCTGAAGATTCTGCAGCAACGGCTTCGGCTTCGGCCTCTACCGCCGCTGCGCGGCAATCGATCGATAAAATGGCGGATCGATCGAGGCGAACAAGAACGAACTACTTTCTGCTAAAAGAAGCAAATCTTCAGAGAGGTAGTTGCTCGAGTAGCATCAGGATCAACAACAAGAACATCAGCGTCGTCAGGAGAAAAAGGAGCTATGGAAGAACGAAAGAAGAGCGGCATCCCTCGCGAACAAGGAGTAAGCCAGCGAGCCGCAAAGCGGTTAGCGTCGAAGCACCACCGTACGAAAGCGGCGACGTCCTGAGCGACTGAACGAGTGAGTGAACGCTTTGGAACTCGGAGCAATTCCACTGATGCCGCTACGAGGGTCGTCGGTTTTGCTGCCGCCGTCGCTAGTGTCGGCGCAGGACGGCCGTGTAATTTTAGCTGCTCTGTCTGTAGGCCGCTGGCCTGACGGTCGCAAACGATGTCTTCATAGTTATATTGGCCTTTATCGGATAAGAACCAAGGAGAGTAGTGAGACGCTCTGGAACAACCGCTGGACAGTCAGCTCACACCAGCCCTATGCTATAAAAGGGGTCCGTCGAATACCCTCGATTTTAATATATACGAACTGATTAGTTTTATCATGAGTAGCAGCAAGAGCAACCGCACGAACGGGTAACGTTACCATTCTTTAACATTAGTATTATAATCGTGACTATTTATCTCCATGAAGAACAAGAGGGTATGCATAAAGCCGTATTTGTTTCATGTGCTCAGTATGGAACGAGTTTGCATCTCAAGCGATTAAAACGTACCGAATCGATACCATCATACGGCTAGCGAGATCTAAGGTAAATAGAGTCCTAAGTGTCATATTTGTAAACCCATAAAAGTAAATTAACAATAGGATTTTTGCGATGAGAAAATATAAATGCAACATACATATCCCATCTGCCCTTTGTATGTCGAGCTTGCATAGTAAAATGGATGCGACGAATACCCTTAACAGCAAGTCTATGGCCTAAACCGTTTCAGCCATAGATCGAGGTATTTATTAGGTAAGTAAATTGGGCGTGCAAGCAGCCGTGCTCGACTAAGGACAAAGCGTGCGACTACACGTCTGAGCTGTAACGAGACTGCGGCATGCAAACGCAATCAAAAGGTCAAATTTTCCCTATTGGCGCTCGTTTCTGAATGCGGTTTTCAAGATAATATACAATCCGCTATGGCTCATAATTACCACATAGAATAGCAGACGTTGAGTATCAGTATTCTACATGCAAGTATTTATTTTTTTTTAACTGTGAGCATTTAGCTATGCCGAAGTTCCTCGAAGGATAGTGTCCCGTAGTAACTTTGATTTTTAAAATTTAGCGCGCTATTGAAGAAGCAAGTGTACTTATCCTAATGGCAGAATGAGAGACAAGTAGTGTATCAACGACTCAGCGTGCTTGTCAGCGAGCGTCTCCAAGCGCCACCTGCCGTAGCGAATATACAACGCTCATATATAATTAATCACAGTACCATATTACGTTGGCTTAGGTTGTATAGAATGCTAACAGGCGTTACCTGCTTCGCTAGGAAAAATTTAAGCTTCGTAGACATATAAGGATTTATCAGTTTCAATGTAGCTAGCAGTAACCGCTCGATCGAAGATCGACTAGCGAGTAATTAATGCTCAATCATGTTTCAATAAAATTCAAAAAAACAATGCATACATGCAGCTATCATTCGACTAGACTTCATGTGTTAAATGAGGAATCTTTAACGCTACGCCGCTTTTGTTTAAATCATATCAAAATCATATAAATTCCACCAAGTCTACTATAGAAGTCTGCAGATTGCCGACTATCCCATGTACACTTAAAAAGCGCTTTTGATAAAGCAACATTTTTTAAGTTGTCGTAGTACGTGTTCTACGTTAACGTCATCTACTAGTCGTATCAGCGACGACTGAAGTGTTATACAGTTGTAGGCTGCTGACGTCCCGCAACTCATTAAGCATCAAATCAAACATTTTACGGCGCAATGATTCTACTATTTTGAGACAGACCCTATCCAGGTGAACTGGGTTACATCCAGTGCAGCTGGTGTAACTCGCGTGTAATTTTCAAACCAGCATCGTTTCTAAAGTTTCAATTGTATCAGCAGGAATGTTAATCGTCATACTTATTTGTAGAATAGGCGCAATAGATGAATTTTATAGAAAAGAAGAAAGCTGCTGAATCACTAAGATCATTGACAAGTAAGCGCCTATCGGCTTCGTGACGAAACACCCTTCATCTCACCGCAGCACAAACGACGAATGTATACGATAGGAATGCATAAACCACTGTACATTACTGATTGCCTATGTTGCCGCTACTTCGCCTGCTGCTGGCGCCATTGCCGTCGGAAATACCAGCCTTTGTAGACAATAACATTGAGTGAGAGGAGGACAAGGAGGAGGCTGGCTGACTGACTGGCTGGCCGGCCCGCCGGCCGGCCGGCCGGTCGGCTGGCTGGCTGGTGTAAATTAATGTGGCCTATGGCCGATGGCGAACAGCGGCCGCTGCGACTTCACCGGTCACCGAAGCGCAAGAACGTAAACAATGTGAATACGGGTGTGAAGACCATCGCATCGGCGTTGCTGCCATCACTAACATCACCAATATCGCCTCTGTTATTCTTGCTTCCACGGGCATCCCAGGCTAATTCCAAGAGGAATCTACACAGAATGGTTCTCGTGTTTGGTGTCCGGCAGCGGTGGCAGCTATTTTCGTCGCTGAGTGGAAATTTCGGCGGGTTTGTACCCTCTCAGCCTAGCTGTAGCCTATGTATGCGCGGATGCGGGCTAGGGCGGCTTCGTCGGCCTGTGTGAGTACCTCTCTATGCGTAATTGTGTTTGGGCGTACGAGTAACTTCACGGCCGCGTGCACCTTCAACGCTGAGCGTCTTTCAGCGTCCACGGGCGTTCTATCTCGCACACGGGTGCGTTCGTTAGATCGCTGCTGGCTTCATATTATCAAAACGAGAACGAAGAGTGCAGCTGAGGAGCTAAGATGAAGAGTGGAGAAGAGTCGGAAAGATGTTGCTACTGCGAATACCGCAGCTGCTGGAAGGAGTAGCAAAAGGATGGAGCAAAGAATCATTAAAATTACGCTACCTGCCGGAGCAGCTTTACGCAACTCTATGACAGGCGCAAGCAGCTAGACGCTGCTGCTGTTGATGACTGGTCGGACGGATGAACTGGTAGATGGTCACCCTCCCTTGAGAGAACGATACTCGATTTTGATGCCAACTCGACTGACAAGATAGAGCGATGAAGAGGGGGAGTGACTGCGCACAAAGAAAAGAAAAAAAAGGTGTTCGAGCTTTGGTAGGTACTAGAGAACCGAGCCTTACGGTCTGGATTTTGCCTCGTCTTAGAAAAGGGCTAAAATGTTCGAGACACAGTAGGTCTCATTTGTATTCCATCAACAATTGAAAGGAACATTAATAGCAGAGGTTGTCATATGCCCATCTCATCAGTCAAATCGATCTGTGTTTTAGGATAACTACATGTGTGCTATGCATGGTAAATGTCCTCAGGCACTAGCAACTAGTCGATTTGGTTAAGTGAGTCACATTAGCTTGATGTTGTCGAGAAGTTGAAAGCACGCTCAATTCGATGGGCTCATTCAGCGCTCCCTGTTCACTGATGGGAGTAGCTAAATAAATCGATATGGAAGAATCATTGATTTAGCAGAACTATTCCCGATAGTGTTATAAATTGTCCCCCACCCTTCTATGTATTTCGAAAGTAAACATCTCTATTGATAAGGTTTAAAACTGACCTAATTAATGTATGTGTGAAAGAGTTTATAACTGCTACAAACTTCTGTATGTATTGTCAGTTACTGCACTAGCGGGATTATAGCATTAGGCCGACTAAACCCACCTTGCAAGCAACGGTTTGATCGCTACGATACGTAGGCTTTTAAGTGATTTCACATAGAAAAAGTAGCACACTGCATCGGTCGTCATGCTGCACTGACTACCAACAAAGAATAAATAAGTCGCCATTCCGGGCGCCATTCCAGATTTATTGATACGCTTTAATATCCAGTTCGTTTAAAGCAATATAGACATTTTGCTAAGTAGTCAACTAATGGGCTATCATCAGGACAAATAGATATAGAAAAAATGGCAGAGTTTCAGACTGCAACATGGTAGAGCCAATAGACCAGTCTTGGAATTGTTCGTTGGTAGTTTTGCTTTAAGCTATCACCTAGCTACGTTGCTAGGTGATGATGACGATGCAGACTAATTCTATATGATATCTAAAGTTTAGCTTAATTTACAAAAGCTCAACTGAACACCAATTAGAATTTTGAATGAAAATATTCTATTACGTATCCTAGCTCGTGTTATGCCATTTTATAATACGTCTGCTGTTTTTTTTTTCAGAAATCGTCCTCGGAAGGCAATTTGCTGAACTGGAAGTGGAGATTACAATCGTCATAGAAAAGCTGTTCTAAACGGTTCACGGGTGTCCAATAGGGAGCTACGCTTGTGCGCTAAACATGACCTAGTACTATGATCATCCATCAATTAAACATTGGGCTACGGTGTTTAACACGTGTTTTTTTCGTTCTCCTTAAAGCCGACAGACCCCCCAGTAAGTCTCGTCGGCTTTTCGTATAAGGTACGCAGGCGAACTAACAGGATCACGAATGCGGATCCCTGAACTCTCTTGTCATTCTAGTGGGCTGTATTTATCAGGTCTAGTTTTTCATTGACGCTGGTCCGCAATAATGATATGCATGCATCGAGATACAAGACACAAAATACATGAATGGGTAAGGCTGAGCTCAGAGTAGCTTGGATTAATTTCTCATGTCTAATCGCCTAGCCAGCTGTACGTGTGACCTGTTCTCGAGGAAAAATATTCAATGTCGTTAACCTTTAGCTTGAAATTTTCATGCAAATGAAACTTCAGAGAAAAAAGAAAAATCAAACTGTGTGAGTACCGTACAAGCATCCGTGAAACAGTATATTGAGACCAATATAATCGCATTTTTCATTACTAGTGACCAAACGATCGATCGTGTATCGCTTTCGCTCCGATCTCGTTGCTGCCTGCCGAGACCAGGCGTCAGAGAATAAAATGTCTGGGCTTTTCTCAGCGGTACTCACGGATCAAAATGGGGAAACGGCAGAAACAAATGAATAAGACGAAAGTGTAGAAAAATACCAGGTCAAACAGCGAATTTTGCGTCGTATAGCCTCGGTTTTTGTAGGTTGAGAATTACCGTCAGTGCAACCTTCTGACATAAGTCAGTAAGAATAAAGCAGATAACGGCGATGAGTGTTGTATATCGACAGGTGAAAAGATCCATTCAGGTAAAGCAACATTCAAGTAACCATAAAACTTAGATAGTTGAATTTCAGATCGACAGTCTCGACCGGCTGATGTCCACCAGGCATCCTGCCACAAGATATTTTACTTATATCAGTAATAGCAGCCGTAGAAGCAGGGGCTACTTGTTTCGTCGCCCCGCAAAACCCCTATTACCAGCGCTTACATAGAAGTGCCGTAACGTTCAGCAGTTTCTCTAACTTGTATACGTATACCTATATAGGAGAGAATATACTAATGGCGCTTGTGTTAGCAGTGTTGATGATGGCTTTGATCACAGTGAAACCATTGATGCCAGGTCGGCATAAGTATCTGTCTGTTTGTGCGTCAACGTACGCTGCGGTTGCTGTCCGTCGCTCGATGCAAACAGGCGCTGGCCAGTGTATAGTAATGCTATGCCGTAGAAAGAAGAAGATTACGGGACGAAATAGGCGGGAGATCTGGCGGGCGTTTGAGAGATGAGCGCAATCCAATAAGGGTACTTGCTCGCTTGCCTGCAGAGGTAAGCAACAGGTGAGCGATGGCTTGACGCTTCGAACTGTTTCTGCGGCTGCCATTTATCTCTCCGACCAGTGGACTAATACACATAGTCGCCGCCAACTACTTGCGCTTGACGACGCGGATGCATCGTAACGAAGGGGTTGATGACTTTTCCATCGGAGCTGCCACCACCGGAGCTGCGATGGCTGGCATCTGTCGACCGCCACTGAGCTCGCGCTCCGTTCCGTTCCGTACAACTAAAGGAAAAGCGCACACTTCGATGACGATGACAATAACGACTGAGGAACAGCTTCAGCAATAGCAGCCCTCATGCTTATAAAACTGCTCAGATTTCGACGGAAATTTCATACGTACTCTTCAGAATCGGTTCCAGTTTGTTGTTGTCGTGGCCGGGCCACTGCCGCGGCTGTTATTGCCCCCGACTTCTCTGATTTCACCGGAGCATTGGCTTATTCAGGTGCCACTTACCGAGTGGAGAGCGCTGGTCAGATTGCAGCCGCGGCAACAGCGGCGGCCGCCGCAAGCACTATCGTACGAAGCACGTAGGCTCTGGCCTTTCACATTTGAAAAGTCCTGAAGGAAGGAAAAGGCTGACAATTGAAAGAGTCTTACTAAAAGGAAGAAGACTCTGAAAGAAGGTGAGCCAGCATACAAGCCGCGGTAGCCATCGAACCAGCGTCACCTTCACTGCTACAAGCAAAGGGGCAGTATCGGCTACGCTCGCATCATCATCAGCAGCCGCCGTCGCAGCGCCCGCGCGCCCAGAATCAGCAACAACCGGTTCATAGGCATTTGTCTGCTCTCTTCTACTAATGTGGCGCGATTCCACTCTATGCTCGGTAAAAACGGCCCTGTTGTTGTTGTTGAAGGCGACTATCTTCGGGATTAATTCTTGCCGCACGAGCGGATTCCATTGCCGCACCACGAACACAAAGATTCGGCGCAGGCAGGCGGGTGCTGCAGTTAAGCAGTGCAGCTATTCATCCCATCGGCAATCTCTTTGGCGTCACTCTTCGCCGGTCTGGCCGCCGGCGAGCTCCATATACCGTAGTATATTCGATCTGCTTATCTTTTATGGACGCAGTTTGTTTGCTTGCTTTTCTGTTTTTTGTTCCCGGCTCTACGACTGCTCACCTCTCCTTGTGCCCCTTTCTCCTTCTGTCGCCTCTTTCCCCCGGCTTTGTTAGCTCTCTATTGTGGATCTTGCTGTTCTGGCTAATCTCGGTGTCCGGTCCCCATTGTAGCGCGGGGGTAACGTGTCTACCTGCAGAGCGCGTGCTCGTCTAGGTTCATGTACGGACGTAGACAGATACACCTCGTTTAGTGCCGCAAAAGGCCAGTCCTCGGGACTAATGCTCAAGGCTCGTGTACCGAAACGCAAAACATTTGTTCCCGATGCCCAAAAGCAGTTGTGCAATCCGTACGCGACAATGCTGAAACAGACCAGACAGTCTGGTCTCAACCAGCAGACGGCCATTGACTAAGTACCAACTAATTAGTGGATGGGAGTGCCTGCGCGATTTTGACAGTAGTAGTCCTAGTATGATAGTATAGAACTTCAGACCGCTGATGTATTGTTGCGGCGGCAATGGCGTGGCAGATGAAATAGGTGCACTAGCGTCAGTCCAGCATTGCTGCGGTCTACGTCCGCACAAAGCTGTTATATAGTTGATGAAGCTAGTTTAAACAACGGGAAGAAAACCAACAAGAGAGGACCCAAAGCGAAAAAATGCACTGCTCCTCATCCTTCGATAAACTTTTGTCGAATACGAAGCAGTGCGGCTGCCGTTACGCTGCTTGTTACCGTCGTCGTTGTCATTGTTGTTGTCGTTGTCGTCGTCTGAGCAGTCATCAGACGATAACGGAGCGACAAAATGGAAAAGTTTTGTACTACCGGCCCTTCAGCCTTTCGTCCGTCGGTCCAGGACGTCACTGGTGGACTTGCGCGTCCTAAGAGATGCCTAAGAGGCCGCACGCCGCTAGCAGTGCTACAATAAATATAACCAGCCGCAGAAAAAGAAGATGCGCAAGCACATACAGAGACATTCGTATATATAAACATACGTGTGTGTGTGTATATATATATACGTACGACAACGTAAAGATCGAACTAACACAAGTAACGCTGATGAAGCGGTCGGCCGCAACTGGGTTTTTAATATCAGAACAGCCATCAGCAAAGCCATCGTCATCAGCTGGAAGAGCTGCAAATCTATCTATTACACACTATATGCATGTATGCTTGTACGTTCGCTGCTAGCAAAAAGTAGACGATGCCAATCCGACAGTTCGGAGCTAGACTCACTGGCGACTTCTACTCAGCCTGATTCGGTCGGTCGGTCGGTCGGTCGGTCGACCGATCATGTCGTGTTACCAGCAAGTGTACACACACGGTCGCATACATAGCTAGCACATTCATCTTTTTGGAGTATCGAAGAGGCATGCGGTGGAAAAACCAAAGGCAGCTAGCACTATAGGAAAAAAAGTACCCTAGCTGAAGTTGCATCGTGGTCGGTCTGGCCTGATGTGCCGCTAGCCATATTCGTTTGCATTAGCCAGCGTTAACTAACGAACTGTTGTTGCCGTTGTTGTTGTTGTTGAATGAAAAGAGTCGCGTCGTAATGGTAACGCCGCAACAGCGGTCGAAATGGGCCACGTTTGTATACGTATATTATATATCGTGTATATTTAGATATACATATATGTAATAGTTGAAGTGTATGTAAGTATGTTGACTGTTAAGCTCTTGATTGCTACTCGATAATGGCCTACTAACAATAATAGCTGTTAACAATAATAGCTGACGCACTTCTAGTGCACAGATGTACACACATATACATATATCTAAAGCAGTAACATATTGAAAAATCTCTCAAACTATGGCGAGTCCTCGTGTTAGCGGCGGTGCCTGCATCAAAAAGTTGGTGCCTCTTTTGATCTATAGAAAAGCTAAAGATAGACTTTCTCGCATCGTCGATCGGAACGAAGCGACTACGAGTCGTATCGGCTAGTTTGCAGTCAATCGCCGTTGTTGTCGTCGATGGCGGTGGCGTTGTGGCCGTTCCTGCTGCTACTACGGTAAAAGGAAACAATGTAAAGGCTTCCTCAAGGGGAGGATGGCGTCAGCCGCTATTGCCGGCTGCACCGTTGTTCGCTGGCGACTGCAGCGGCTCCTGCAGCTGTGGCAATGGTCGTTGTTTGTTGTAGTAACGCGGTTTCTTACGGCTTCTTCAGTCGGACCCAAAGTGCCTGTTGTTCCCGATAGCAGCGGTTCTTGTTGCGTTGCGGTTAATGATGATCATGGCGATGATGATTCTGGCGATTCTGATGATTTTGCTGATGTCGACGCTGCTGCTGCGGCTACTAGCGATGCCACGAGTAGCTGATGGAAGTCGACTGGTCCCGGCTCTTCTATTCCACAAAATTAATTCCACTGTCTAGGACATGCCTGAGTGATTGCTATTAAAAACCACGATAGTTGTCCATTTATTGCACGATGGCGATGGCATCGATTTCAAAGTTAAGGAGTCTGTTTCTTTCGGCGCAGCGGTTCTCCGACCCTTTCAATTCTGGTGGTGTTCTTGCTCAGTTTTCTCAACGAAGAAGATGCGAGTAATCAAGTCGAACAACCTCGAAAGGGTTCGGAAGGATCCGGAAAGTCCTACTACTCACACCCAAACACATATTTTACGTATATATAGAATACAGGTACGCTGAAGGTAATAGACGGATAGGACGAACGGGGCGAACAAGCAACGAACGAACTTCCAAGCGAAGCCGGCCAAGACGCCCCCTTCACCTTTTTCTTGTAAAATTCGGATATACTCCATGAAAGGTTAGGACCCTTTTTTCCTTCCGCTTCTTCTATTCTTTAGTAATATAGTGTGTAAGGTGATTTTATACAATGAGTATGCGGCACACGAATACCTAAAGTGATTGAGAGTAGGAACTCTCAATGCAGAAAAACATAATGTAGCCTAGAAGCCAACTTCAAATAGGTCAGCTGCCGATGGTGGCAAAACGCAGATACTCTCGGGTTGTTTATCCAACAACCAGAAAAATCTAACTGACACAGATCAGGGGCAAAATTATCACGCAGTCAGCCGAGAGTGATTCAGCTAATGAGAAACTTTAAGATACTCCAGCCAGCTCGATCATTCAGCTATGCGACTATACAGGAAACGAGATAGTTCGTTCATTTGTATTATTGTCAACGGGTGTCGTTCCCATTTTATGCAGTTTGCTGTTTTCATCCTAGTAAAACAACTGTTGTGTAGTCATAACCTTTGTGCTCCTTTATCAAAAGTCTATTTTATGAATATGGTCATGCGCTTATTGCTAAGGCGATAAGGCTAGTCGTATCAAAATCGCCTCTTTTTTCTGCTGACTTCCGGTCGTATTTACACTGGCACAGCACGCGCACCAATACCCGCATGCATTTTCGTGGCTCTGTGTTCAATCTTGTAAGCGAGGTTTTATAGACTAGCTCATTCGGCGCTGTTTTATTTCGTTATTGACGTACCATTCGTTGTTCTATCGCGCCCATACACAAACGAAACAGAGGCTTATATTCTGGCGGTGGACCCCTCATTACCGCCTCCATCTCGTGCCCACCTTTTGCTTCTGATATGTAACGTCAATGCATGTAACGAGACTGCGAACGCTATGCGCATAGGCGCATCTTTAGCTCTAATGTTGATAACCTTCAGGCCGACGACCAGCACGCGAGTGCACTGTGCCCAAGTCTGAAACACAGAGAAAGGCTTTGCCCACACCTTTCGGCAGATGAGACTGTCTTCAACAACAATAATAATAAGACGCCTGGAAATGGGCCGATTGTGACTGAAGGTGCAACGAACGGTTTTGAATTTGTTGTAGCGTCTTTGTAGTTTTACGGTTTTTTATCATCGTAAGATAATTTCGAAGAGAGACGGAATGACGCGGATTTCAACGGTCGAAAAAAGGATAATGTTTTCGTAATAAACGTACATCAGTACTGTAGGCATAATATGATGGTATTAGCCCTATGCCCGTCGGTCCTTATCCTGCCAATCAATTTTAGCCATTTCCAAACGTCAATTCTATTTTCCACAGTTCAGAGAGACAAACTTTCCTTTTGGTGCTAATGCCACCGGTCGCAGCTTCCACACGGGTCATGCTCGTTTATACATATTGGACGCCCTGTAGTGAGTCGTTCTAATATGTTAGCTCAGCTCAATTCTATTCAGCCAGACGCAGTTTGTACAAATGGCCCGAACAACCCAAAATCACGGACCCGTTTCGGTTGGAGATTGCCAGCAAAATAATACAGTTTTATCTATTTACACCAGCCCATCAGTTTTTCAATATTATCCTGCTCCCGAAAAGTTACGTTATATTATTCCTTCAATCAATGTGAATTGGGCTGGGCTAGTTGGGCTTAAATACGTCGGATTGACTTGATTCAGTCAGACCTTGCCGACCGTATGAGCTAGTACACTGGCCGCATTAACCATTCACGCTATTTTTACCGCCACATTGGTCAGCCGTTACAGTCATCGTTCATCCCCCGTCGGTCGCCATTGTCGCTAAAATCTTTCGTGACCAATTCTCAGTTCTCACAGGCAATAGGTGACATGCGATGGCCAATAGATTGCGCTGATGTCTGTCTTGTTCCCCTCTCCAACATCTCCTTTTTGTTTCCCAGCGTTCTGAATCTCTTCAAATTCACCGCGCGAATCAAATACACTGCCGCCGCTGCTGCTTAAAAGATATGGCGCTGACTGATCTAAACCCTTCTTCTGCGTTTTCATTTTGTCGTTCGTCGCCGCCGCCGCCGCCGTCGTCGTCGTCGCCGTCGTCGTCGTTATTGTTGATGTTCTTTTATTTTCCTCTTGCTACTCGTTCACCACCTGAACATTTTGCTTTAGTTCCTTTTGCAGCAACGACTTCAGCAGCGCCGACGCAGCGTCTGCTTCATGTTGGTTTCATCGTCACCCTTTAGTTTGTGTTGCCGGTGCTGCCGTCTTAGTCCGTCGCTTCGATCAGCTCCTTTGCGGCTCTGATGGCGTTATTATTGCCGCCGCTGCCGCCGCAATCGCCTATCGATAGCAGAAATTATCAGAAACACCAACAGCAGCTTCGATAGCAGCAGCGTAGCGGCATCAAAAATGAACATATACAAGTAGCGACCGCAGTTACGACGAAGACCAGCCAGCGGAAAGAAGGACAAAACGAAAAAAGCTGCTAGCTTTTTCTAGCTGTTTGCTGCTGGCTGACTCGTCGCTTTTGTTGCTTTGTTTCTACTTTTAGTGCGTGTAGGCTTTACATTCGCGCTGGGCTTGAACGACTACGGCACTTTAGAGATATTGACTTCGTCATCGACTCCGCGGCTAGCGTTGCTTCGGCCGTTGCCGCAACGGGTTTCGTCGTCTCTCCTTTCACCAACAGCAGCAGCAACAGCAATGGCCAGCTTAATCTTGAAGAACAAAGAGTAATGTTCGTGCACTAATCTGTGCTCGATCAGTCATCGCTTCGTCACTCAGCTGCCCGCTAACTCGCGCGTCCGGCAGCAACGGTAAGAAGCGCCAACGCGTCGCGATGCCGGCGGGCGAACATTTCAACTATTCACTCACCCATTCGTTCACCGGCTATTTGCAGCCTCAGTGCTGACGCTACGCTGTCGCTGCGTTCTCTTAGGCTGCCGTGACTGCAGCTGGTGATGCTAGCTTTTTCTGCTCAGCATCTGTCCTCTTAGACAGCAGCGACCCAACCCCGATTTGTTTTCCGTCAATCTTCTTACGTGTTCTGTTTGTCCTGTCGCTCGCTCGCTCGCTCGCTCGTTCGTTCGTTCGTTCAATCGCTGCAGCGACCCTAACGGAATACTCTGTCACAGAATTTTCCCCCGCCGGCTCATCTGGTCATCGGTCTGTACTCCCGATCGCCTGCTCCCTGTTTATATTAACAACGCTTTGTCATGATATTCTAGCCGTGTCACTCGCATTAGCAGTGTCAGCATAGATTCTTTTTTCGAGTGTAATTCGTCGTTTTCGCTTTATGTGTCCGTATGATGTCGAGCTTGCTTGTCTGACAGTAACGCAATGGCGATAGCAATAAAGTAGCGGAGAAATGATGCAGTTCCGCGTGGACGGCGTACCATTCGAAGAAGAGGATGCCGTTCGCCCATTCACGCTTACATACAGTGGGCAGACCACGCAGACGGGAACGTATTTCGCTCTCTGACACCATTACGGTGGCGATGCAATCGGTATCGTACGTGTCTCATTTCGAGTCTATTCAACTCTACGTGTATATGCGATTACGTGTTCAGCGCGGTTTTAGACCCCGTTACGGTTATGGCAGCTGCTGCAACAGTTGCCGCCGTGGCTGTTGTTATTATGAGAGGGAGAATGCATGTATGTGTCTATCAGCGCACCTAGCGGACAACGAAGAACTTCATTGCTAGAGGAGGTGTAGGCACAATCTTTGGAAAAACGCTTGAAACAACAACGGCCACAGCGCAGGTATGTGGGTAAGGTGCGTCATGAGACGCGATCATGTCGCGCTTGCCTTCCAAATAAAACAGGGAGTTCTCTGATCGGCTGCATTATCTCCAGGACAAGGATAAACACTCATATACCACAGCGTCTAGACGGAGGCATCCGACACGACATGACACTACTCAATTAAGGCGATGGCAACAGCGGCGGCGGCGGCAGGACTGCACTGGACAGCGACATGGAAGTTTCTGCAAGCATGCTAAATAATACAATGGCAGAGAATGGGGTGCCAGCAGCACCAGCAGTTCGGAAGTAACAGCTTAGTCAGGGTGGCAGAATCAGAATGGCGTCATCATTCACCGCTTGGCTGCCGATGTTTCTGTTGCTGGCTGTGTTCTCGGCTTCAACGACGCTTAAGTGCGACGTGCGTTCGATGCGCGACAAATGAAAGGGGCATGCGTCAGAAACTGCCGTTGAATCCAGGGCAGCGGCGCCCGGCAGTACTCAGTTGCGGTTTCTGCCGCTGCTTTCTGCCACGATTAATTCAGCCGAGGAGGACACTGCATATTGCGCTCGAAAAAACCGGATATATTCATTCCACGGACAGCTTGAGTCCATTTGAATTGTAACGTCATAGAAATGCTTTAGCTGTTTGTCTAAATCATTTATCCAGCGCGCTGTCGCCCGTTCGATTGTTGAACATGACTAATTCGCTTGGTTGTGCTGGTTAACTATAAAATATCTTCAGGAAGAACAGTAATGGCGAAAAGAAGAAACTAGTTAGTCATGGATGGTCAGCAAAAAGGCAAGAGTGTACCTGCTGCACTGACGATTGGTTTCCATTAAACCAGGAGGGAATAACGATAGACACGCTGGTTCGATTGGTTTCTTGTGGACGGACTAACGGGTAAAATGACGCATATTGAATGGATTTTGCAGCTCACTATTTTTAACCCGTATTTCATTCAATGCAGAGCTTGTTTCGAGTGAGGTACTCCGTACAGGATGACTGTATGAATTTCTGAGCGAACTATAATTGTATTTTTATACGTATCATTATTTGACATTCGGGTTTATTGTTTCGTTAAGTGCTAACATCGATTCAGAAAAAGGACTATTGTTAGAGACAGTAGCGTACTTACTTCTACCTTCCTTCTGCGCTTTCTTCGCATATAATTTAAGATTTTCCCACTTTTTACGACAGGTTTGTGCGTTCCGCAGTTGACTACCCGGAGCTTGAACCGCGTTGACCGCTGCTGTAATCTCTTCCCACGCCTGCAAACACAGACAGCCATTTCGTAAGAGTGTGTGTATAGCAATGCGACCGACTCAGTTGTGATCATCTGCTGGCCCTTTCAGCTTTTGCTTACGTAAAGGGCCATCCACATTTTATAAAAGCTTCATTTAACGAATTATCGAAGATCTAAAGTACTAACTACTGGAGAACCGTTCGGATAAAGTTAGCGTACCCAGTTAGTTAGATGCAAAGTCAATATCTTGTATGTATGTTCTGGAAAGCTAAGCATCTTTATTCTTAACGTAATTCTAGCTCTAGTATCGTCCTGCGTTGACCGATTTCGCGCAGAAGAAAAACTATGTATGTTCATTGAAGAGGATGGGTTTACTTCAGCATGCCGTCATCCTATGTAGGAATAGATCACTAGATTGTTCCTCGACACAGAGGAATATCAATCGTTCATTCAATTTCAACGATACACAACCGATTCTTTCAGTATGGCAAATTTCATGCGAATGCGTCGAACCAGGCCGTGGCAGTACCAGTATAGATACGCAGCGTAAAAGTGCCCTCAGTGGATTTGAGAATCGAAATTATCCGAAAGATTTTCCGTAGATGAGCAATCGCTTCATCGCTGAACTATATGATTGTATTTGATAATCATATTATATGATTCTTGGAATACTCTTAAACGTATCCATTATCAGCAAGTTCAGTAATCCAGTGTCGGAAAAGGACATACGTCCATTACGTACGTCCATTACGTATCTGAAATTATGTATTAAATAGCCGTAGAAGATTCTAAACGCTGTTAACAAACTCAGGTCGCAACTAGCTCGTGGAAATTACGCAGCATCCGGATTTTTGTGCGAGAAAGCAGTTATGATTATTATTATTATTATTATTAATGCAGGATTTTTACCTTTTCTTTGAGGTGCGACATTCCTTTGGCTCGAGGTGTAGTGAGGACTGCGGCTCTTCTACGAACTTCCTGAATGAGCACGTTTTTCTCCTCCTCGGTCCAGTTAGGCAATCGAGTTTTTTGTTCGTGGGCTGTCTCGGAGTCTATAGTTCGGTACGTGTGGCCAGGATGTCCAGGAGTTTGTCTCGGCGAGGAGCCCATACTGAGGTCTGTAGCGCCTGCCAGTTCCATCATCGTGATTGTGTTTATCGACACTCAACTGGCGTTAAGGTTACCCTGTAATAGAGGTAGATGGCATGGGCGAATATACAGATTGTCAGCCAATTGGGTTATAGTACTGCCATGAAAAGAGTACGCTTTCGGACACGTTAACGGAGTGAATTCAACAGTAACACGCACTTGAAAATGGCGCTTATTACAAACTTTCGTGTCATACTGCCTAGGTGATGTTATGCCATTACCCTATTATTAATTAATGTCACGGTTTTCATGCTTGTGAAAATAGCTATATTTTGCTATCATTGCTACATTGCTTGTTTTATATATTTATAGAATAAACACTGGTGGTTAGGAAATCGGAACAAAGTTGTCACCATTCGAACAGCTATGTATATGTGGTATTTTCCGCAAAGCACCGCTTAACGTGTTTAGTAGTGTACATTTTTTAAAAACAATTCTCGGTAAAAAAAAATCAGGCGTTTGTCCATCACTAGCCGAATAACACCGTCAGACTAGACGGGTGGCCCCTATTTGTACGAGGTCTTTTCGAACATTTTTTTTTCGATTTAAGGAGATGAAAACGCAAACAGAATGTTTCTGGTATCCTTGATTAAAAGTATAATACCCAATGTCACTAACGAACATCTAAGCGTGCTCGTAGCAGGAAAAAAGACTGTCGTTTTACCTTTAATATATCGACGTCGGTTATCTATCAGTCTATTGTGTACAAGGAAAATCGCTTGACGTAAGTATAAGATACATATATTAAATAGGTGCATAATTATAGGGTTAAGCAATAAGAATAACCAATTTAGTCATCTGGCATCAATTGGTCACAGATGTTCAAGCTAAACTGTTCAAGCTAGAAAATGCTGATTTATGTACATCCGGCTTTTAAGTGAACCTGCTCTATACTTGTTTCGATTTCCCTACAACGAACGAGTTCGTTCCGAAACAATCTAAATTTGATTCTCTTGGCAATATCAGTTGGGTGTTGTACCGGTTCAAATCTGGGCGAAACCTGTCGTGCATGTATAACATATGGAGCAAGAGTGCGATACAGAAATTGTATACCGATAGAAACGTGCAGTGGAAGTGTCACTTTCAAAAATTCTTGTTCAACGATGAATGTTCATAGCGAACATACCCTTACGAGCGCCCCGCTGGGTATGACCCCCAATGCGTCCCTGCACTTACCTATCGAAGCAAAGCCTCAATGAAAAAAAAAAAAAAAAAAAAAGAACAACTCTGTTCCTTTAATATGTTCTTGTAGACGATCAACAAGAGGCGTATTTATCACGCTAAAAACAAACTTCCCGTTTTATATCTGCTCATGTTTCAGTTTCCGTCTGTCAAATCGGTTTTGCTTGTATCTGTCGTCACCCTTAAAATCATCCGCACTAATGTTTGACCCATTTAGTCAGCAAAAGCGCTTGTTGAATGTAAGGGCAAGGACCAGCGGATTATCGAGCAGGAAATGAGTCCGATTCTCGGTGCAGCTACAGATGAATTTGCGATATGGCTACAATGCTGGAAAATTTCAAACCCATTTTTGCCCCACATATTGATCATTTCTACTAAATTAAGTTCAGTACCACCAGAATCATCGTAGGCACTCATCCATGAACTAGCGAACACGTTCGACTAATTAAAGTCATAGATATTTTTGTGTCACGAAACAACGGCCCACTAAGAGTGGTAGTTAATGGCTTTCTTTCTAACTAATTTTGCTCATTAACTCATGATGTGTTATTACGATCGAATTAGTCAGCAAAGGGCTTACGAAGTTCGTTCGGTGTGTTAATATAGGACCGCGAGATTTGAAAAGACACCAAGTGTTTTCGGGAAAACGACTGATAAGACACAATTTCTGTATCAGTCTTCGAATACAGTGGGGATCAGTTTGTCCGTTTCCTAGTGGTCTGCATGGTGTTATTTGCGCATAGTGGAATCATAGTTTATCAAAGCAATAGGCCCACCTCACTAACCGTATACATTCTGCTCTCGGGTCAATCAGCTAGACTGTAAAAAAAAAAGATAAAAGCTTCATTGCTTAAGAAACGCTGACTATTAGTCGAACCTCTAGTCACGACTAAGCTATATTGAGGCTTTTTTTTTTTTTTGTTATGATTACGCATGAACAGCTTCAAGGTAACGTCAGCGATCGAGATGGAGATTACCGTTTGGCGATCGGCAGAATTGACTTCGCTGAACGAGTATTGTTTTCGCTTGAAAAATGTGTCGATTTCACGTTCTAAGGCTTTACCTTGCTGTGGTTTACTGTCAAAACTACCGTGGCCAATTCCTCTACCTCGAACGGTTGTAATGAACAGATCTGAAGCCCTTTGGGATTTGCCTTGCGTCCTTTCATCCTTTGTGGCTTTACTAGTCAAAGGTAAAAGTTGACAAGTTTTTTTTACGGAGCAACTTACTATTGCATATAGGCACATAAGGCTTTCGTTCTGCATATGCACCATTCATTTTCATATCTACACTCTGTCGTTGAGTAATTTGCTAAGACAATATATTGGCACAATTAAAAATGCCATGCATCCGTGTATATTCAATACACGCCTTTACTCCCCCCCGCATATCACTATCTGCAACTATTTGTTACTTGAAGAGCAAAATAGTTTTTTTTCTTTTATTTGTTTCATCATACATCTAACGTAGTATAGATCGATCGAGGAACTTGAACCGGAGTAGTCTTTTCAGTCATTATATAAATGCAGCCGTCTAAAAGTGTGGCCATCTTGCTAAATATGGGTACAAATTTCATATAATCGATAATGGAATACTCTGCTTTGCCAAGTTGCCAACAATCCCACACAAGGCTGCCAGCATCGCAAAATTCAAGTTCGGCGAGCAAACGCTATAGATACCCCCCCCCCCCCCCCCCACACAAGTCATACAAATATTGATACACTTACTTGAATCTTCGTTTGGCCACCAGACGAATGTAGGAATCGTAGTTTTACGAAGCAGACCAACGGGACGCAGGGAAAATGCTTTCCCATTTTCATAGTATGGTTGACCAGCTGATTTTCTAATTGTTAAACTTCTCAAGGTCCGCACGTGCGCCTAAGTGCGAGTGCATACACACATCGAGATAGACTTAAGTGATTGCATTTTACGTGATTCCATTTGGCGTTTAGCTTATTTCTTTCTAGTAACAGATGAAATCTGCCGACATCGAAGGAGAAGAGTCAACCTTAGGGCAAATGCCCTATGTATACCGTTGTTTGTCTCAGCAAGTCAAGTTTACGAGTATACGTATCGATGAAAGGAAGTAGTTACTAAGGCGTAGTCGTATCACTTGCTTGGGCTTACCTAACGGTACAGACAGCCATTCATTTGCGGGTCTGAAGCCGAACGCTCCGGACAATCATGTCTCTATTTGCTCTGCAAATTTTATTGTCCATTCCCTTTGCCTATTCATATTAACATTGCTTGTTGTCACACACGCGAGCCCTGATTTTTTATGCCGATAGATTGTCCTCACGCTTTTTTTAGTTGCTGTGACTGCTAATTCGAAGGCAAGCTTACGTCACGTGGCCAGCTTGCAACAGGCAGAACATCTCGACTCATTCGGATATAACAAGTGGCCTACAGTTCAACCTGCGTTAACTGTTACCGACCGTTTCTATATCGTCGCACAACTTTTAGTCCCGCTTATAGTAGTTTCACTTTAAAGGTACCGATATGGTATGGACAAATCGGAACTGAAGAAGTGGCTGGTTCTATCGAGGTCGCCGAAAATGTGTTACGTGATATAACGTTAATGGCCTGGGTGGAATAGCCATTATCTTTATGTAACAGTTTACTGGAAATAGCTCCCCTCGCATACAGCTCTCAGTAATTATTTCGAAGCAGTGTTTTTCGTGATGACTGCTTAAAGTCGTACGCGCTACGTAACGGGTCTATATCAATGGCTTTGCGCCGTAAAAGTACGCAAACGATTGTATCAAGCGAATTAACATTACCGAATTATCACTATAAAATAAATAGTTTTAATATGACTGACTGGGATTTGTTATTTCTCGTGGACGCAGTCGTTGACATCTACTTTTATATATATACATATATTCCGATTTTCAGTGGGATAAAGTTTAATGATTGCATAATGCTCAAGCAACAATATAATCATTTTGCGGAGACAACTTAAACACGGACTTAACTTCAAAACTTTTTAACCCAGTGCATAAGTGTTTTCCGCATCGTGAATGTATAACGGAAGCAAATTTTTCAATAAGCAGAAAGGTTGTCGCTATTTGTTTCCCTTAAGCACTAGTTTGGCCAGTGTCATATTTGTGTAAAATGCAACCCAGGTAACCTACCCATCTGGGTAGGTTCGTCCGGCTTTACGCTTTTCATTATCTAATTCTGAAGTCAATGTAAAGCCTAGCAAGTATAGAAGCAGGACATTCATTTAAGAAGGCTTGAAAGTCTGAGCTTCCGAAGTAGATCTATGTACAGCCACTGCTGCGACCCGTGTCCTGCATTGTTCATTTGTATATTAAAAAGCTATAACGTATGCGCACGATCAATATATGCCTAAGACTGAAGTGAGAAAGGAGCTGAAGACAAAAAATGCGGACACGTTGCAGATGAGTCATACACGGTTGGATATTACTGTGCCGTTATTTGTGGACCGATCGAAGTCGGTTAGGTTTTCATTAGTTCTATGTTAAATATTGTAGCGCAGTTCTGGGTTGGAAATTTCGTACTGCCGCAAAGTCAACCAGGTAGCGCATATACAACGCATCAGGCACGTGGTGCCTATGCTGATGATGAGGCTAACGCGCAAATGATCAAAGCCGAAAAGATCATAGTATTCATTTGACGTCGATACGCAAGGAGTGCAGAGCATAAAGTGTAGCCATAGGAATAGTTAGCGTCGTCCTTTATAGCGCTAGCGCATTTCTTCTATTCTCCTTCGCTGGAGGAACTTCGTAGCTCTGTTGGTAAGCACCACTTCTGCTATAAACAAAGCCGTTCGGCTGAATTCGATACACAAGACGTATAACCGATATACTGTATAAGGCCCTTTTGCTTTATAATCTATTTTGATATGGAGTGGAATCCGTCAAAAACCTTAACAAGTACTGTTCCGCAGGGATTCGGTCTGATACGAAATCGATCATTGCGTCAATTGAGTCTTACTACAAGGGGTTTTCTTTGCTTAAGGTGACAGCTTCAGTAGGCCATACGACATCCGGCTGGTCTTGCTGAGAGCTGGCGCTTACTGGGAAAAGGAACAATTGCCAGAGTCACACGCGCACACCAAATACTGAGACGTGTATGTACTCGCAAACAACCGAGCTCAATAGAAGCGTACTTAGTCAATTCGTCTCAACACGGCAGAACTGCCACTGCTGTCAACCAGCATTGGGCAAGGTGGTTGTCCGATAGAGCAATAGGATGCTGTTGGCCATTTCACAAAACAGTACCCATCGAATGGATCTGCGGTTCGCTATGCACATGACTTAAAGGTGCAGTGAATTTTTTGCTCAGATATGTGTTTGCTGACTGCTGAACTAGCGTGAGTGTTAGGGCTTGCCTCTTCATTCAGTTTTAGATCAGCCTACAAGGTTCCAAAGCGCTTATCTCTGAAATTTAAATGTATGGAAAAATGGTACGACCATACTAAATCAAAAGGTTAGACCATCCAAATCAAAAAACCAAGAAGTTAGAGGAAAACATGACTCTGTTTCCTTTTAAACGTTATCGTTCCTAGTTTGATGTAGCCGTTTACGTTTACATAAGCTCTGTGTAACACTGGTGTTTTTCTGAACAGCCCGAACTATACATTTGTGATGTCAGAGTCAGAGCGTCTTCTACCATCGTGCAGTTTTCACCATTGCCTGTATGAAAATCTGTCTCATGCACGCAGTGGAAACCTGGCTTGCGTGAACTCAAACTGTTCACGTAATTTACAGTTGTCACGCACGATTTTCGTTTTTCACCTATAGTGAACGTGATCACTTTAGAGTTTGGACGCCCAAATTTAAAATCGATAGAAAAGTTCGAACGGTTGTCAAATACGATGGGGAGGTTCAACGTTCAAAGTTGTCTATGGTTTCTGTACGTGAAGAGGCTGTGACGAAAAATACTTACGTCATACGTCAACCGGGCAAGTCGCTAGCGATACTGACTGCACAGCATATTTGTTCTATTCCATTATAGTCCACTGCGTCTTGCACGATAGCGAATACCAAGTTCCTCACCCAAATCAGCACTATAGTTATTACCTAGAAGCTCGAGTAATCACAAGTTTGACTAATTCACACTTTTTTTTTTTCGTTCAAGTAACTGAAATTCAGTAATTGCACTAAACGGTACGTCAAATTATCGATGAAACATCATCATTGCAAGGTACCAAGAAATATCCAAGCGATCCTGCCATGAACGAATTTTACGAGATCGAAGTTTACATATTGTTACCGCTGGCGTGAGTCACGTGATCGGGAGCCTAGCGATTTTTTCGCGTTTGTTGTAGCCCCACGTGGGGCTGCAACTACCTGCCAGTTAACCGCACGTGTGTGTGCCCGCGTTCACGCGCGCGAATCGAAACGTACTGTAGAAGAACACGACAGAGACCAGTTGGCCCCGAACACGGCCTACATATAGAATCCACTGATTTAGATTTTGTGAAGCTTACTTCAACGTTCCCTACGTGGGTTCGGCTTCAAACTGTTCGAGATTGGCGAGGTGCGCACACGCCAAACGTCGCGTATTGGCCGATTAGCTTATTGAGCCCGCTAGTCACAGCATTAAAGAAGAGGGCAGTTTATGAGCCGACCGCCCTGCCAAGTGTCGACAACTAGCCCGATCTCAAACTACGAACCACGGCAGAGTTGATTACAAAAGCCGACATTAAAGGCCCTCAGACATGTATCGTCACACTGTTGTGGATTGTATTCGAGTCCAGCTATGACGAACGGTGAGCAAGCTGTATATTTCTTTTTCGTCTTTTCCAGGAATTCGTCATAGGTACACACCACCCACTCCTCGTTCAAACTGGTCTGTACTTAGTCTCAAAACCTCCTGCGTGTAGCTCCGGCTGTCCTCCTCGGATCGCTCACGTGAGCCTTTTTCGGCTTTGTTCTCCGCTTCTTTCTGTCTTGTTGCGATGATTCGTTGTCCTGAGCAGAGCACCGTAATGCAACAGAACCGAACACAAAACAAGCGTTGCCGCTGTCGAGTCGAGTGGGAACGACAAGTCGAACAGCCGAACGCCCGAACAACCGAATCCGAATCGCCGAGTCGAGCTGGACTGGGCAACCCGTTCGGCGAGAGAGATCCAAGCGTCCTAGCAGCAGCACGGCCGAGGAAACGACGATCACAAGGCAGCAACTGCGGCGGCGGCGGCGGCGGCGGCGGCACTCGCAACGGCTGCGGTCTCAGCTGCAGCTGTGTTGCCGGAGCTAGTTCTAGCAACGATGGAGTAGCAACAGCGGTGTCAACGGCAATGGTCGTTGATCTAAGAATTAGTGCCCGTTTAAGAATAACATCATCCTTTCCTTCCATTCGATTCCAATGCAGCATGCCTGCAGCGGACGCAGCCGCATCGGTTCATCCACACTTTCGTCGTCGCTTCGTCCACGGGACAACATCGTCGTAGACGTCGGGCAGAGCTGAAGCGGGGAGAGGGCGGATCGCGCGCGAGTCGCTGGCGTACGGTGCGACCAACAGTAACAGCAGCAGCAGCAGCAGCAGCAGCAGCAGCAGCAGCAGCAAAGAAACGGCAGCCGCTGCACAAGAAGCAGCTGCAGATGTGCTTATACTGTTGTTGCCGTTGTCTTTGCTGCTGCCGCTACGAACGCAGTACCTATGGCGATCCCGCTCCGCGAAGAGATAGAAGCTGGGGCTGCTGCAGAGACAACGGACAGCAGCAGTCGCAACGGGCCGCCACCGTCGCCGCTACTGGGCCGAAAGAGGAATAAAGGGTTGTTCGATGCTAAAGGAAGAATGTATAGCGGGCGAAGGGAGAACACTCGCTAAGCAGTTCTCTCAGTTGGCAGGGTCGAGCGTGCCATTTAGCTCGATTCGTTCATTGGTTCGTTCGTTGCTTGATGCGTGCGTCCTCCTCGGACCTCATCGATAATTGGCAGCGTCAAGCTTGCTTGTTTAGCAACTTACTTGTACGTATGCTCACTCACAGCAGGACCTGCGTTGCGCTTTGGCTCGTCCGATTCGTCGGCGGCCGCCGTTGCTGATTTTTCTACAACCGCAATAGCCGTAGCTGCCGTCGCGCTCCTGGGCCTGCTTTTTTCCTCTCGATGCATCGACTTCAGCATCATCAGCAGCGCCATCACCGGCGCGGTTTATTCTCCTGGCAAGAGTTGCTTGCTCGCACTTCCTTCCTTCAATCTTTCCCCGATCTCTCTAACGTTGGGCTGTGTCTACTCCTGCTGGATATTGGTCTATCTTAAGGGATCAGCGATGCCATCAAAGGGTTCGACGCTGTGTCGTCGCGTCTGTAGCCAGCCCGGCATTAGATAACTGGCAGCGGCAGAGTCCACCGGCATCCAACAACCGATGTTGAATATATGCTCAACTGAAGGTACGGGAGTGACGCAGCGTAAATACAAGGGTTTGCTCCGCAATCGATAATGTTGCCCTAGATGTAACATACAGGAGCTTTGCGCACGTATAGACGATCCTATTGTTACCATCGACATTATATCGTAGTCCCACAAACGCGTGTGCTTGCCTATAGATAATCGTCATGAAATTCCTACCCCCCTTCGAAGCGGGACGAGGATAAGAACGATTAGTTCGCTCGAGGATAACACGCATTAGAGATTTAAAATGACATCTAGAGGCATAAGTATTTTCGGACGACTGCTCCTGCTCATAGAAACAAGAAGGTGGGAAGTGATGTTTGAAGTCAGCCTCTATTATCGTCAGGTTATTTCTTCAATCGTACACTACTGAGCTAGTCTACTTTACGGTTTCGCCTTTACAAAATATATGTACCGACCCTTAGGTATATTTCAAATGCAACATGAAATGAACTGTGGATACGTCCGCGCTCCTAGCCACCTCACTTGTTCCTAAAATTAATAAACAAACATATTACCAACGCATTCTCACGGGGCTCTCTTCGCCTATCCTACCATTACGTGGCCAACGTTGTTTGGCCGCAATGTTTGTTAGAGCTGGCACTTCAAGTGATAAAGGCTGGCCAAAATATAAATGCTCTGAAGTACATTGCGGGCACATACAACTGGGTGACAAGCGTTTAAAGCGTCCATAGTTGGCGACCGTTTTCAGTTCCGAACGAGGCAGTGCGGCTGCCTAATGTGTATACCCGACTTTTTAGTTCTTTGATTTCTTCTTTTTTCGTTTTTCCTCTGATATTTAAAAAAGAATCTAGCAGCTGATGATAAATCAGCACAGACTTTGTCTACTTGAACTTGAGGTTAGGAAAAAGGATATCGGAAATGGCATTCCGCGTCCTCTATGGGAACTATATATATATATATATATATGTCAGGTTCCTATATCAGGTTGGAACGTAAAAAATGGTCTTTTTCTTCAAACATATCTTTTTCTATTGACCTTTCCATTGTCCGTCCATTTCTGTACACTATTCGATACCATTTGGATGTGCTATAGAGATTCGCTATAATTTCAGTGCGCAGTGTTGCATATGAAAGGAGCGTCTACATTTTTTCGCGTTTTGCCGGGGGTCAAAAACTCGACATGCTACGAGAGGACTGATTTACAGGGATTTGCGAAGTTTTATAATGTATCTTGAAGTTGGAGAGCACACCGCGGCCCGGTTGCTCATCTAAGATCGCCCAAAGGCATTTTTAAATGGCAGCCGGTCGTTTAGGAACAACTGATGAATTGGCTCCGAAGACTAACTTCAGCCATGTGACCCTTTGCAGGGATCTTGACACTTAAGAATTCGTATGCGGCCGACTTGAATCACATTAAAAAGATCGTTCCATAGAAAACGGCTTTTAGAGGTACCGAAATGCAACATTATTTTTTCGCTTGTATAGCATTATAGACTATTAAAGTCGCCTCGCGAAAGCTGACTCAAAGTCCATCTCGCGCTTATAAATTAACACGTTCTCCGGTCACTGGCGAAAATGATTCGTAGCGGTACCATTAATGTCTATCAAGGGTCTTAGCAAACCTGAACAATTTTAATGAAGTTCAATACGTAAACAGATAGAAGAAAACTGTAACGTAACCGAACGAATAGATACTGAACTAATGTGTTACCGGAATTTGAATTAAACATTGCGTTTTTGTTATGTAACTTACGTTCCAGTCTAGCGATGAAGCTTCATTTAGCGGTTGATTACAATCTGAATCATTTACAACACATTCACATGACCACAAAAAAAAAGACGGTGATACGTTGCGGTTTTGTTTCATCTGTGTCGGAAAAGTTTTTCTATCGCAATCGTCTAAATTGAATCATTATAATTATATTTCTTAATTGCGCGTTCTCGCAAATGCATAGGTTCAACGTATCTATTACCGGCTAATTGCAAATTAAATATCACTAGCACGCTACCGTAGGTCTGCGTCATCCGCCAGTATTACTAGGACTAGTACCTTCATGATGAATCATATTTAATCCCACGTCCATTTTCCTTTTTTGCGTCTGCCTGATCGCAAACTAGGGTTCAATTAGTTTCCTTATGTAGCTATCCTTTAGCTTCATGGCTACTTCGAACTCGAGCCTCTTTGCCAGTCAGTATATAGCTCGTCGCACCTCGGTTTACAGATACATAAACAATGTTTAAAAATATTTAGTTTTACAATACTTTTCAAGTACGCAACGCGTGATTGTAGCGTACGCAATAAAAACTCAGAATCAGAAGACGTAAATGGCTTATCTGAACCTGGAACCGAAATAAAATCTGGTGTGAATACGACTATGCTAGATAAGATAACCAAATGCTAAAATGTACTTTAGCAGGTAGAAACGCATGAAAAAACGTGAAGGTACAATCTGATTATATACTTTTTTTATCATTAGAAAACTCTGGTCATAGTTCACTGTGGGAATTTTATGAGTTTTTCTTATACATTGAACAAATACGCGAACTAATGTATTTTCATTGAAGAGTTGTAACAACTAGACATATAATTATGACAACTCACGAGTCTACAAAAGCTTATGGGGAAACAAGTATCTAAAAAGTCTTAGCTAACAGCTTCTTTTTTGGCTAATTAGCGTAATCCTCTAAAGTTAAGTGTAACTGCGCAATCTGTCCTTCAGGATATTCATATTTTGAATTTTCATACTTTGGGGGTTGACAGCGAAGGTCATTTCATCCTTAAATTGCGCTCCAGAAGAACTTGAGATCTCTGTATCACGTATAAACAAACCTTAATGTAAGCAAGGATAATACGCGTGGGACTTCTATTTCGGTCCTCGCAAGAGTAGGCTTTGCCTTGAGCGTTTCGTGCCGCTGCCCAAACCTCGCAATAACTTAACCTGGAGCGACAGATTGGCACAGTAACCGTCTGCTGTCCGTCAATCGATTACATATCAGCTGGTCAAAATCAGATCACAAGAAAAAGAGGCACAATCTTCCAGTCTAGTTCTTCCCCTTTGAAGAACATGAGGAATTTCCGTCGCGGGTTACTTAGACCTAAGGCACATGCTTTGTACAGTGTTATAGGAACGACCTCGAATTTGTCCAAAGAATCAACCGTATTCCCCCTCCACGCATTCTTCCTCTGACATATTCAAATTCTAAACTGAACTCAAGACAAGAGTCAGCATATTGACCCGAATGAGCAGTTGCGGCTTCTAGCGTCATCTTCAATTACAAATGTTTCTGTACAATTAAGCGTGCGCCATGTCTGACGATCGCCAGGATCTTTACGATATCATCATCATCGCTAATGTACATGTCTACCACGACGTATCCATGAATACTAGGAACGTATACCATTTTTTTTTTTTTTTTTACCTGTTTTGAACATGGCTAATCTTGAGCGTTGTTTTGCTCACTCGTTTTAATCGCGAATAGCCGTTATCGTCGGGATGAATATCGTCTGTATAATTATGGTCTGTTCAGCTTTCATCTGGATATATTACATCATTTCATATGTACATTATTCATGAGAATACGGCTGGCCTGTTGAGTGATGCTCGCACACTGACTGACCGACTATGCTCGTATAGCTTAACTCAGTTCGAACAATGTCAATGCTACTTTACGCTATTGAATGATACTTCTCCCCAGTAAAAAGGCCGACCTGCCAAATATTTCGAAACAAACAAACAAAGAACCATTTATTA